CCAGACCCTCCAAAAACAACGGCTGAGGTGTTTTGGGCACGTTCTTCGCCATCACTTTCACGAGCTTGGTGTTACCGTTTTCAATCTGCCACCGTCACCAATAAAAAGGCGTCGAAAAGGGGACAAAGTAAAAACCTGTCTCACTACAGTTCATCAAGACGCGGAGGTTGTTCTTGGACCGTCGATATTCGGTATCTGTCGGTGGTACAGAGAACAGATTCAGTTTTCCATACAATACGCGCCAGAATTCGTGCAATATGCCGACATATCCGAAAGATTGATACTCTTTCGCTAATCGGCATTGACCCAGGTTGTGATATTGATTATCGTGTAGTCTATTGTGAAGTTATTTCAGTTATGATAGGATGTCGGCTTTTTAACAAGATTATTTCTGACCGCTAAGAAAACGTATCTGCTGTAAAAAATAACCACCTAAATAGTGCGCGTTTCTTTCATTGATCTTGACTGCCTTTAAAATTTCACATATATTTTATAAAAATATGCATGAAAAATTATTTCTTGTACTCATTTGGTAGAAAATTACGTCTTCTTTAAATGCTAAACTTAAAAAAAGGTATCCTTCGGTTTTAGAAAAAATTTTGATTATGAGCTTTCTACAATTGTGAGGTGTTCATTCATAATACATCTTATCCGTCAATTTATTAATGTTGCGTATACTGTATAAAGCATGTTCCACTTAATGCAATATTTTATGAGAAATATGTGACTTCTCAAACCGTAGGCGAAAACGTACTTTTCCTTAAACAGGATGTACACAGTGCGCAGTTTGTAAACCTTGAATTCGGCAATTTAGGAACTTATTTTAACTGAAAGATACCCTTTCTTTAAGTATAACATATAAAGAAGGCGTAATTGTCTGCCAAATGAGTACAAGGAATAGTTTTTTTCGTGCATGTTTTCCATGAAATATATTTTTAATTATAAGGGCAGTCGAAATCAATGAAATAAACACACTATTTAAGTAGTTACTTTCTACAGCACATACGTTTTGTTAGTGGTCAGAAAGAAGCTCGTTAAAAAGCCCGCATCCTATCATGACTGAAATAACTTCAGAATGGACTACACAATAATCAGTACTACAACCTGAGTTAATGCCGATTAGCGAAAGAGTATCAATCTTTCGCATCTGTGGGCATGTTGCACGAATTCTGGCGCGTACTGTATCTGCTGCCCCGGATCGTCACGCGTGGACCGGTACAGTCTATCGAGATCGGCTAGATTAGACAAGATCGCAGTCGTGCCAAGTATAGCTCACAATTTTGCATTTTTTTTCCCTGCCGAGTTTACTTGGTCAGGGTGCTAGTTTAGGTAATTGTTCTGAATGGTCGAGAATATGCGAGGTAATTGTTGTATTCCTCATGATTCGCGTTGCGTTCTTTCATTGATTGTTAACGTCTGGTTAGACATCCTGCTCCGTGATCACGCTCTGTTTTGTTTTTCTACTCATTCGTACTTGCCTGCCTTGTTTTCAGCCGACTAGTACTTTCTTTGGAGATTTTTAATTTTATATCCCCAACTCCGTGCGTTCGTCTTTGCTTGCTGGCCACTAACGCGTGTCTCTGCCTTTTAGAACGTTTTGGCCTACGCCTTCACCCTCTTCTTCTCCAAACTGGTATCCTACACTTTCCTCTACTGGCTACCAAACTTCCTGGCTAGCGTCAGTGTCGAGAAAGTCTCCGCTGAGCAGGCAGCCGTCCTTTCGACCATTTTCGACATTGGCGGCATTGTGGGTGGTATACTGGCGGGTTTCCTCAGTGACAGTGTCTCGGTGAGTAAAGTACAGTTGACTTGTAACCTTGTAGCTTGCCTTTCTCATGTCACATGTGAGTACACTGAGGCCTACTAAAAATTAATCCGACGATTTGTTTCATTCTCTGCAAGAAATTCCGCTTTACAGTCAACCTCCTATGTTGTCCTTAGCTTTCGGAATCTGTTTTGCACATGTCAACCTCCAGCCAGCGATAGTTGTGTTTCATTGCGTCCGCGGCCTGCCCTCGTAAAATCAGCTTGCTTAGTCGACTTTTGTGTAAGTGTGCTGTTTCTCCTGGACACTGACAGGGCGTTCGAGCGGGTTGATTGTCGCCAGCCGATTTGGTGCCTACGCTGTGTCTGTTGTCAATGCCCC